GACAGTACTTGATGTGTACAGACAGGAGAAGACTGTAACACAGATCCTTAAGGCTCTTGCCAAGCATGAGAGGGAAGGAGGACATGTACGGTTGAGGTAGCGGCTGGCTGGTTGATTGCTGCGTTGCTTCGGTTTGTCGACGTTGCTTTGCTTCGTCGACGACGTTGCTTTGGTTCGTCGATGACATTGCTTTGCTTCGACGTTGCTTTGCTTTGACGTTGCTTTGCTTTGACGTTGCTTTGCTTCGACGTTGCTTTGCTTTGTCGACGTTGCTTTGCTTCGACGTTGCTTTGATTCGGTTGCTTTGCTTCGATTCGGTTGCTTTGCTTCGTCGTTGCTTTGCTTCGTCGTTGCTTTGCTGCGATTCATTGCTTTGCTCCTGCCATTCATTGMTTCGCTTCATTGCTTTGCTTCATTGCTTCGATTTGGTTGCTTTGCTTCGATTTGGTCGCTTTGCGTCGTCGTTGCTTTGCGTCGATTCATTGCTTTGCTTCGATGCATGCGGCGTTGCTTGGATGCATTGCTTCATTGCTTTGCGGCTTAATTGCTTTGATTTGTCGCTTTGCTTTGATTCGTCGCTTTGCTTTGATTCATTGCTTCGGTTGCTTTGCTTCGATTCGTTGCTTTGCTTCGATTCGTTGCTTTGCTTCAGTTGCTTTGCTTTGATGCGGCGTTGCTTTGCTTATTCGTTGCTTCGATGCGGCGTTGCTTTGCTTTGATCATTCGTTGCTTCGATGCKGCGTTGCTTCGATGCGTTGTTTTTGCTTCATTAAAATAGTAGGTTAACTGTGACTGCTTTTTCTTGTTAGTAGTATTGTTAGTAGTAACTGTGACTGCTTTTTTGCTTGATTGCCTCAACAAGAGGAGCAAGTTGAATAGTAGCTGATAAGAAGATGGCACCACCATTGTCATTGTTGTGATCKTCGGTTGTTGAGAATTACCTTCACGATTTGTGTTTTTTTCATAGAATTTGCCTTGTCGAAAATTGTGTCAGTTTTTCCTCCCAACTGACACCCATCAGTTGGGGGATTTCGATACTGTGCTGGTGAGTAGGATAATAGCGAAGTGTACGTACGTAGACTTGTACATGATTCTATACTGTTGCAAAATTAGTTGTATTATTGATTGATACCTGGAAGGTACCAAACAATATATCAACCAAAAATGCAACCGTGTAGGATGTAGTACATAATATACGTAGGTGCACCGAGCCAGTGCGTGGTGCGTACTGTATCAGGGTGATTGACGAGAAGTACTCACACTGTCACGCACAAGGCAAATTCTATGGAAAAAATGCAAGTCGGGAGAGTAATTCTCGACAATCACCACGATAACGAAAACACCGACAACACTGATACCAACACTCCTGTCAGCTAATAAGATGGTCCTTTTGTTGAGGATAACGATACAGCACAGTTAACTTAGTAGTATACAGCCACTTGTTCTATTAGGGGGGACAAGTAGTTAGCAAATAAGAAGGCGTCCGTATCAGTGCTGGCTCGTATCAGCGACTCGTATCAGCGGATCCTTCATATCAGCGGATCCTCCGTATCAGCGGCTCGTATCAGCGGCTCGTATCAGCGGCT